AATCCACTCACCTCAGCCTCCCAAAATGCGGGATTACAGGCTGAGCCACCAAGCCCAGCTCTATATTGATTTTTATTTACCCTGTGTATACTCATGTATTTATTAAATATTTAATATTTTAATATGGTAATATAGGCATATATGAAACCATTTTTTTTCTAAATATGTGTGTACATAAGTTAATTACATCTTATTTTAGGATACTAGGGGAATCCCAAATAGTTATTATAAAACAGGGATATTTAATTTTTATGATTACTATTAAGTATTTATTAAATTCACTCTAAGATACACACATAAAACAAGGTAGCTATTATAATATATTAGTGAGTATAAAGAAGCTACATTTATAAGTAATGAGGTATGAATTAAAATCAGGAATTATCATAGTTTGATTTAAATCTTGAAAGAAATGTTGAATGAGTGGTGGAGAGAAGAATAGGGCTAGTAAAAAGATGTATTAAAAAGAAAAGGGAAGCAAGCATTCACCTTACTGATGAGATTTTAATCACAGCATGTGTTTTTCAGGCCGAAAACTCTCTTCCAAATGTAATGGAGTCAGCTTTTTATTTTGAACAAGCTGGAGTTGGTTTGGGCACAGATGAGACTTTCCGCATATTGCTTGCCCTCAAGCAGCTTACTGACACCCACCCAGTCCAAAGATGCCGCTTCTGGGGCAAGATCTTGGGTCTGGAAAGGAACTATATTGTAGCTGAAGTGGAGTTTCGTGAGGGGGAAGATGAAGAGGAAGTGGAAGAGGAAGATGTAGCTGAAGAGAGGGGCGAGAGAGACAGTGAAGCTGATGGTGACCAGGAGGATGAATTGCCAAAATCCTTTCACAAAGCCCCACAGCCTGTCCCAAAAGAAGAGAGTGGAACAGGTGCCAACAAATATGTCTATTTTGTTTGCAATGAACCTGGAAGACCATGGTTGAAGCTACCCTCGGTTACACCTGCACAAATTGTTATTGCAAGAAAAATCAAGAAATTTTTCACTGGGCAATTGGACGCTCCCATCATCAGCTATCCACCTTTCCCAGGAAACGAGAGCAATTATTTACGAGCACAAATTGCCCGGATTTCAGCAGGAACCCACATTAGTCCTCTAGGATTCTATCAGTTTGGTGAAGAGGAAGGGGAAGAGGAGGAAGAGGTGGAGGGTGGACGAGGTGGCTTTGAGGAAAACCCTGATTTTGAAGGCCTCCATGTGACTGATCTGGTGGAATCCCTCTCCAATTGGGTTCATCACTCTCAGCATATTCTCTCTCAGGTAAGGGCTTTACTGCTCTCGATCTGTCAGCCAATTAGCAGACTCATTAAATTGTCCCTACACTGCACAAAGATATACAAAATGAAGGCCTTTGAACTACAGACAGGGAGCATTAAAAACACATATAATTGCCAGGGCCTCAGGGATATTCAAGCAGATTTTTATTTTGAAATGGAAAATAAAGCAAATATTTCTAAGGAGTATTTAGTAGGTGATGTATTTATGTATATGCTTGTGTTCTGAAATCATTCAGTTTTTTATATATTAAATATAGATGGGTGCATTGATTTTGGAAACAGTTCTTTTATCTCCATTCTATTGGGCTGATGCATAAATTTGTAGCGTTTCTCACTTGCCCATGGAATGCAAATGGTGCACAATGGTTGACTGGTCACAGTTCATCACATTTGCTAATCCTTGGGTCGACTGACCTGGACCATGGTGGATTAGACGGTCATGTGTAAACGGTCCTCATCAAAGCCTGACGGTCTTCCTGAACGTGGAGAAGAACTCAGGTCAAATTGGCCCTCTTTGAGAGGACAAAGCCATCTTCTTGCCACGCTTTTCCCGATGGCATTCTCCCCTGGACATGGCACAAATGTTTCCAGCCTTGACTCTTCTAAGAAATGCACACAGAAGAACATGGAGGAAGGGTTTTTTTTTCCCACTTGACACTCCGTCTTCTTTATCCCACAAATGGCACCAACTTTCTTCAAGTCTGCACAATGCAAGGCGTTTTCACAAGCACAGCATTGTCACTCCAAATGACAAACTCCCAACACCACTGTGTTGCCATGCCGAAAACAAATACTACAAACTTAGACATCAGCCTAAGTTTGTGGAGTTTTTAATGCCACAAACAATAAAGGATTACAACAAAAACAAAACCCAAGCAAGCAGTTGCTATATAGCATATACAGCACCCATTGTGTGAGGTGCTGTTAATAGCACTGTATATGCATATGTGTGGTATTATACATATTATAGGCATATCTTATTTAATTTTCACAATAACCCTATAAAGAGTTACTATTCTTATCCTTATTTTTATAGAATAGTATGTTACCACATATAAAGTTGTATGGTTAATAACAACCACCATTGTAATAGCTTTACCTTGCTCATGTAAATTATTGACTACAAACCAGTAAAATGCATTCTAACCTTTTCCACTAAGGTTTTGTTAATTTTAAAAAATATAAGTGAAACTTTAAGTTTTATAACTTCAAGAAGTTGACAAACTCTTTAAAAAAATAGTGGAATCTTTTCCTTGAGACAAGCTTGAGTGAAATAGCACTGGGAAAATATATGTAGAATGAATGAATGATTAAATTCCCACCTGGTGAAACCTCATTCTGATAATTGCTTTAATCCAAACGAATATGCAGAAATGTTAAGGTCCTCATTAGACTGCTAAATTGTGCCACCTTCATTCCCAGGGTCGCTGTCATTGGTTCAACCCCATACCAAAAAATGAGGAAGAAGAAGAGGAAGAAGATGAACAAAAAGAAGAAGAAAAAGTAGAAGAGCCTGACTACATAGAACAGGAAGTGGGACCTCCTCTCCTGACACCAATCTCTGAAGATTTAGGTTATTTAACATAACTATCACACACACAATCACACAACATCGTGGTATACTATGGGCATTACATAGTAAATACATGAATTGGAAGTCTCTAGACAGTGAGCAGGGTGGCTCAGGTTTCATGCTTCCCCTTCATGTGTTCTGAGGTAAAGAATGTGGCGGCTGGGCAGGCGTGGTGGCTCAGCCTGTAATCCCAGCACTTTGGCAGGCCGAAGGGAGAGGATTGCCTGAGCCTGGGAGTTCGAAATCAGCCTGGGCAACTTGGTGAGATCTCATCTCTACAATAAATCACAAAAATTAGTGGGTGTGGTGGCATGCATCTGTAGTTCTAGCTACTTGGAAGGCTGAGGCAGAAGGATCACCTGAGCACAACAGGCCGAGAGTGAGACTCCGACTAAAAACAAACAAACAAACAAACAAACAAAAAAATGTGGTGGCCACGCCAGCATCCTTCGACCAAGGGTGAAGGAATGGTGCAGCGAAGAAGTATAAATGGGTTGTAGCTCTTCCTAAAAATGCTGAGTTGTGTTGTTTCATCCTTGTCTTTTTGTATGCAGACGACAAACAAATGGCATAGTCATAGCAAAGTATCACATGTAGTCCTGGCGTTTGCTAAATTGACTCTTGTCCCATGTTCTTGTTTCTTCCTCTTCAGTTTTGGATTATTTGTGCTCACAACCCTTGATCTTTTTCATAATAATGATCTGACCTTTCCTTTGGTCATCAAATATTTACTCTCCTACTACACAAGCCTCTTCTCCCTTAACAAAAACTTCTTGTCTCTGTTGCAAAAATGGAGATATATATTTCAAATGTTGTTATTCCAAAACGTTCATAAAATACTTTTCTGATTTTGTTAAGTTGTTGAGGTTTTAACTTTCTATATCAAATGTGTGTATGTGTGTATGCACACGTGTATGAAGACTTATAAAAATAGCCTCCCTATTGCACAGAAGATTCTTGTCTATTTAGGTGCTCAGCTTTTGAATATTTCTTTGGTTTTCAGAAATTGAGAATATGCCCCCTTGGACACCACGGCTGGCCTCCAATCTTATTCCACAGTATGCGATAGCAGTCCTTCGATCCAACCTTTGGCCTGGAGCATATGCCTTTTCAAATGGCAAGTGAGTATCTGACCATGTGACTATATATGACATAAATCTGGAAGTTATAAATTATCACTGGAGTGTTAAGCTACTATTGTTTTAACTCATCTTTGGCATATTAGGTGTTTGTGGCATACAATTAATAAAATAACATTGGTATTATACAGTAAAGCACCAAGTTCAAGACATTAGAGTAATTCAGACTTCTACCCTTTCATCTTAATTATCCAATTAATTGAAATAAGATATAGTTTTTCATCTATTATTATTTGGGTAATTGACTTATTCATTTAGTAGATTGTGGAAGTAATTCTAAGCAGTGTTTAGTTTAAATTAATCTTACTTTTTGTTAGAGTTTGATAAAAGATCATTACAAGTATGCTTTACATAGGTGATCACTTTCAAAGGAATTGGAATCAAGAGGATACCCAGATCCCCTATTCCTCACCTAGAATACACTTCCATTTGCCTTATGTTTCTGTTTCTTTCCTAGTAACCCAGTGTCAGAAGCTTAGCTGAGCTGGAGAGAGCTGAGCTGCCAGGTTTTAGAGCAGCCGTTAAAGTAACAACAGCCAGAAATGAGTTGAGCCTTTGGTCACTGACTGTGATGGGGTGAGCAAGAGAAAGTGTTGACTTTCCCATGGAATGGCACACCCATGTGGGGTTGGCGCAGAGTGGATGTCACAGATGTGGCAGTCCTGGGTCATCTTACTGACAAGCAAGCTCCCAGGCTCCCATGGTTTTAGGGACCTAGAGACAGGAGGAGGGCAGAAGGGGTAGAGTGGAAGAGTGCTGAGCACAGAGTGTAAATGGCGTAAGGAGGTGCTGTAAGGCTCGTTTTCTGGATGCTCTAGACGAGGGTACCTGGGAGTGGAAGCGTCTGGGCCAGGGATGCAAGCACATGACGTGCATTGTCAGCCAGAGGGCCAGTGTCCCCGACTGTACCTTCCCTTAGAAGCAAAGCATGGACTGGCAGTTTTTTAAATCTTTGTGGAAGGTATCAACTTTTTTCTTTCCTGAAAATTGAATATACCTTTACTTGTGGTCTAAGGGTAGGGTACATTTTGACAGTGTCTAGCCCCTTGGTTTTCTTAACCAGTGTAAAGTTTGGATCAAAAGAATTCTCTGAGGTAGAAGAATTATCGAGGAATACGTCACTTCTAGCATTTTAAATGTACTGCTTTTTAAAATTATGGGACTATGATGCTGTTAAGTACTTTATTATTACAGTATGGTCAATTGTTTTGAGAAATTATATAATGATTTTTTTTTCTTAAAGAAAGTTTGAAAATCTCTACATAGGCTGGGGTCATAAGTATAGTCCAGACAATTATACACCCCCAGTTCCACCACCAGTTTACCAAGAATATCCCAGCAGACCAGAAATCACAGAAATGGATGACCCCAGTGTGGAAGAGGAGCAGGCTTTCAGGGCTGCACAAGAAGCAGTTCTACTTGCAGCTGAGAATGAAGAAACTGAGGAAGATGAAGATGAGGAAGATGATTATGAAGAATAAGCACAGAATTAGCTGTTTTATGTGGCATGATACACACGTACCCTTTATGTGGGACTGATTTTATGTGTATATATAGATATACATACACATCTGCTAATACAAGAAATTGTTCATCTGTAAAATGTCATTATTGAAAATATCAAACTTACAATTTCACATTCTATTAAATGTGTATAGAAAGATGTCTAATAGAGGCTAAAGTGACATTGTCAAGTCACTTTCTGATGGTTGTGGATAATGAAATATATATTTGTGTATTCTTGTTTTACAAAGGTCTCAGCTTTAATTTCTAATTTGGCAGATGTTGAATATGACCCTTAGAAGCTACCTGCAAACTTCCACGCTTTGCAAGAGTAAAAGGACATATAGACAAGAAGTACTGACAGTCACTGAGCTGGAGCACGATTCTTAAGCCTTTGGAATTGCCTAGTTAGGCTTGTGATATGGTGTGCAAATACTGTGTATATGTTCATTCTTTCCCCCGGTCAAAAACTGCAGGCTCAAATTTTAACCCTTTTGTTACTTCTTACAAAGCTTTCTCTATCAAGCAGTCCTATGGATGCTTTAAAAATTTTTTTTATTAAAGCTTTCTTAATCTGACTCCTCTTTCATCCTGTAGAAACTGATCTGAACTGATTTAGGGGAAATGATTTGCACAGATGGTTACCTGAGGATATCCAGACTTCAGACTTATACCACTGTTTCCCCAAAACATTATTTCCTTTCATTAAAAAAGCATTTTCTTTTTTCTTTTTGAGTTGGAGTTTCACTCCGTCACCCAGACTGGAGTGCAGTGGCACGCTCCCAGCCACCGCAGCCTTGACCTGCTGTGCTCTGGCGATCCTTCCGCCTCAGCCTTTCAAACAGCCGGAACTACAGCTGTGCGCTACCAAGCCTGGCTAGTTTTTGATTTATTGTAGAGACATGGTCTCACCAAGTTGCCTAGGTGGGTCTTGAACCCCTGGCTTAGGCAGTCCACTTGCTTCAGACTCCCAAATTGCTGGGATTACAGGCTGAGTCACCGAGTCCGACCAAAAAGTATTTTCAAGTCTTAAATTTACCAGACAACCTGTAGCTATGACTACGATCCCAGCACTCCTCCTGAAATCATTGTGCTTTCATTGGAAGGGATACAAAATTATAGATGGCAATTTAGCAAGTATCAAGACAAATGTTACAGTGTACCATAGAACAGTACTTCTCAAATTCTATGGTAAAGGACCAATTAAAAAAAAATTTCAATCCATTGCTGTTATTTTTGTAAAAGCAAATAAAATGACCCAGCAATTCTCAATTTCTGTACTTATCTGGCAGTTTGCAGATCTCCAAGTTACACTTTGAGCAATACAGCTGTCAAGCACTTAGAAAGTGCATTTAACCCAGACTTGAGCAGGTGAAGTGACATTTTTGAGAGCCACCATGTGGCATGCTACGGGAAAGGGTTGCAGGCAACACTAACTGCATTTTGGCAAAGGACTTTCGCTGAAGATTGAAACTTCAATTGCAAGACACGGAGAGAGACGAGCCTAGAGGTAAGAAGCGCTAGATTGTATAGCAAGTGTGGACTTTACCAGTGAAAAACGAAGAGGATTAAACTAGAAAGGTACACAAACACATCTGTATTTTGGAGTTTTGGCTTCAGTGTGGAAGCTGGATGTCAGGGAATCAAGACCTGAGACAGAGAAACCGGTCAGTGGGTTATCATATTACCTAGGAAGAAACAATGGTGTCATGAAATAGGTCAGCTCCATGGGATATAAAGCAGAAATGGTTACCGGGCTGCAAGACAAACAGAGCAACAAGAGCTTGCATGTGGGATGGCCAAGGCTCATACTGACCACAGTCATCTCCTTGGGCAAATTACCATCCTCTCAAAAGTCTTAACTTCTTCCTGGAGGTAGCAATACTACTTGTCTCACAGAACTATTTTTAAGATTAAACTAGTTAATTTATGTAAACTCCTAAGAGTACATAACACGAGCAAGGACCCAATGCATATTAGTTAATGGCTATAATACAAAACCGGTTTCTGAAATAGGAATAAGAAAAGAAATACAAAACCTACATTGCAAACAAGATAGTTTATTGAAATAATTACTAAACAATGAAGGATTACAGGTATAATTTAATTAACATAGACATTTTAGAAATCAAATTATATGCTGAGTACTTAGAGAATTCACAGATTCGTAAGTTGTATTAAGGAGTTCAATATCTAAATTTAGAAAACAAATTACAGTTCCCAATCACTGCAATGCTTAATTAATCCTTCAAGGAATCTTCTCGGCTGTAAAGACTTGAGAAGCTTGTCTCCTGGCCTTGAAGATAAATGTAAAAAAATATGATTAATTGTAAACTAGAAGTCAATTAATTAGAATATATTATCATTCTAATAGAAAAAATTTAGAGTTTTTTATTTCAAAATAATAATGAAAAGTCCTAAAGAATAATTATAGTCCTAAACTTCTGAAATTAGGAATAGACATTTTAAAGCCAAGCCATAAAAAAGTGAAAATTCCAGATAAAGACAAAACAAAATAAATAGGAAATGCCATTTTTTTCACAGAATAATTAAAAGTAAAATGCTGGCTCAAAGTCAGGGACAGACAGAGAGACACAGAGAAGGCACTAACAAAGGGCAGGCAAGAAGTTCCCTTTAATGAGATTACCCTCATTATGGCCTTAAAAATGTCACTTCAAAAAACTCAATGTTTGTGCTATTTTCACAACTTGAGCCCTAATCAAGATGCACTAAACCAAGCTAAATTAAAGCAAAGTCACAATGAGGGGACAAAGGCAATACAATGCGAAGGAAGCAGGGAGGTAATTTAACAACTGCATGTCAGATGAGAAAAGAATGGAGGATAATGGCTGCCACAGAACTCTGCAGTCATTATTAAATTAGAACTGCATCAGGGGACATTTTCCAAATGAAATCCCTTCACTTAAACAAGTGCCCAACATCTATTACAGGGTCTGGAATTAGTAGATACTCTAAATATTTATAGAAGAAATGTTTTGTAGTAATTATAAGAGAGTTGCCAGCATAAAAAAGTTATTTTGAAAACCAATCACTATATTTAAATAATAGCTGCATGACTATTAAAATATCAGAAATAAGTCCAAATATGAAGAACAAAACATAAAATGTAGCTGTAAATATCTACATTTTGGGATACTGTAAAATATCAAATTTGTTTTTAATCCTATAATTTAAAAAATGTAGTTACTGCTTAGAAGAAAACAGACATTTTAAAAATGAATTATAAAAACATGAAATAAAAATAAAATCATTCCTTTGTATTAAAGCTGCAGACTTCTGATGATCTGCAAAACAATTGGTACATCAGTATTTGCTGACTTCCTACAGTACATAAAGTACTGTTACAAAGGACAGAATAACTATAAGACACAGATGCTGAAAAAAAAACCTGAGAAAAGACAAAGGCTTGAAGGCAATAGACAAAAACAATGGCTACGTTAAACTTGTAAGATTATACTGTTTTCATTTTTCAAAATGTATTATCTTTTCAAAAATAAATGTGAAATTGTTCATAGAAAAGCTCAGCAAACATGATGCTATGAGGCTTTGGTCCTTACAGAAGAGGCAGTATTGGGCAGGGCTCTAAATGCAACTGCCTATATTGGAATCCTGACTGCTACTCAGGAGCAACGTGGCTGGGGAACAGAACAACTTCTCTATGCCTCAGCATCCTCGCCTGTGAAATGAGAATAACTATAGCCTCTACCTTACAGGGAAAGGTGTGGATTAAATCAGTTAATATAGGTAAAGTACTTAGGATATGTGCTTGAGTTCTTACGTCAAAGTGTTATTTTTATCTACTATAATTATAATCATAATATACTTATTATTCCTTTTCTTCCTGGCAGTAGTGTACACTGCTAGCCAAGTTATGATTCTTATAGTTAAGACAAAGCTACTGTTCATGACTCAAAAAAGCTGGAACAGCATCAGATGCAGTATAAGAAGTCCACTTTTACCATTCTAATTCCACCAATGACTCAGTTTCTACAACCAGGAAGATAACAACTAACTAAAATGTTCAGCTAGACTCTATGAAACTATTTAACACCTATGCCCTCAAAAGGTATGTATACAGCCAGGTACAGTGGCTCATGCCTGTGATCCCAGCACTTGGAGACGCCAAGGCAAGAGGATCGCTTGCGCTCAGAAGTTCAAGACCAGATTGGGCAACATAGCAAGTCCTCATCTCTACAAAAAAAAAACAAAACACCAAAAAAAAAATTAGCTGGGTATGGTTATGTGCACCTGTAGTCTCAGCTACTTGTGGCTGAGATGGAAGAATCTCCTGAGCCCAGGAGCTTGGGGCTATGATGAGCTGTGATTGTGCCACTGTACTCCAGCCTAGGTAACAGAGACCCCAACTCAAAAAAAGAAAGTTATGTGTAGAATAGTGAGCAAGCTTCTTTGTATTTCAAAGTAATTAAAATGAACCTCTAGCTTTATCTGGCCAATTTAATGACAGGATAAAAAACAGTGAATGCTAATGTTGGTATTTAGTCACTGCAAACACATCTTTTAATGTATCATAATTGAACTGAAGATGCTCTTAAACAATCCTTACCTTTATACACCATGTTAGGCAGCTAAAAAGGTTACTCTAGCTCTGTCTCTCATTTCAACAATTGAAGTCCTTCCCTGATGACCCTATTATCCTCCACAACTGCTCCTCTCTAGTCCTCTGTCTCTCTCTTTAGAGGAAATACATCAGTGTGAAGTACTCAAACAGGGGCACTGCTTCCTTAAGATTCCAGGGCTTGTGCACTTTCTAGACCTGAGGTGCTATCAGATAGCTTCATCTCATGCCAAGTAGAAATTTTTCAATTCCTAGAAATTTTTCTATCATATTCTACTCATCATTTAACTGCAAGGGATAAACACAGAGGCAACGCTAACACATTTAAATTCTAAGTGTGTACATCCACCAAGCCCAAGTACATAAATAGCCTCGGGAACCCCAAGAACCACGTTTAATAAACCACAATTTTAAGACCAGTATGAGTTAGATCTCTAGATTAAGTTAGGTTTTCTTACCATAGGGTAGTCATTATTCATCACTCATCTGACATTGAAAAATACACTTGAAAATTATAAAATTAAACATTTGTATGAGGTTCTTAGTACTTGAAGGCCATTAGGTACCGTTTCAAGTTTAAAGATGTCTATTCCAGATATTAGAAAACATAAAACAAAATATCTTTGCAAAATTAATGAAACAGAATGTGGTGCTAGGAGATACAAAGTGGTGATATTGATTTTAGACTTTTAAGTTCAACCCAATCAAGCTTCTCCTAGAAACAGATACTTACAACTTTCTCCTCTGGGGAAAGTGCGCCCTCTGCTGCCAATATCTGGTATTGCTTATGTTTTAAATTTCCCACAGACTTCCGGAGTTGCTTGAGACTGCTAGCCTCTATGTCTTGCTTTAATAGTTTCTGCATTTCTCGAGAAGAACACCCAGGATCAAATATCAGTAAACATAATGTTCTGTTTTTCCTCTCTTCAATTCCAACAACAGTTCGACTATGACCTATCAAAAGAGAACAAAATGGCCATATTTATACATATGTATGTCATCTCAGCTATACAGTCTCTCTGTATACAGTGTGTGAACATGTGTGCTTGGAATATAAATAGAGTCAGTCTCTCTGAAGGGTATGTATCGGAGGTCTCCTAAGACAAAGGAGTATAGCCCTCCTTCAGTTCTCTCCTAAGACATAAGAGTTTAGGTCTATTTCAGTTACCTTTTCTTCAACTTTAGTTTTCTAAAGCCTTCTTTACAAAAACTGCTTCCACTCTGCCATATATTTTATTTTTCCTTTCCTAATTCATTGATCTATCTTATCCAAATTATTTCAAATGAAAGGATTTGAAACTTGCCTATTCTAGAATAAAAACATTCATGGACCAAAAGGTAAACAAAAGTAGAAGTATATGATCATATACAGTAGAGTATCAATGGGGAGGGCTTAGTCTCTTATAGTTTGTATTCCTAGACATGTCCTAACATTTACTTCTCTTTATTCCTGTCAATTCAAATCATTTAAAATTTACTATGTGCCAGGTACTATTCCAGGAAGTAAGGTATACAACATTTTACGAAACAGACAAACGTGCCTGCCTTCATGGAGCTTATATTCTAACAGAGACACTCTACAAACAAGGCAAATAAATCAAGAAAATGCCAGTGGTGGGAGGTTGGGATAATGAGTTGTACTCTAAAATGAGGTGAGGTCAGGGAAGGCCTCCCACAAATGGCATCTGGGTAAGACCTAAGAGAGTAAGGGATGAATAATAAGGATGAGTGAACCAGAAAAAGAAGACAGTCAGTGCAAAAGGCCCCAAAGACACAGGAATATCATCATTCACTACTCAAGAAGGGACTGTGCTGACAAAGTGACTCTGGAAATCAGACAGCTAATGTCACGACTCCTCCCCCAGTATCAGAATCTTAATTCTCCTAAAGCAATAAAGAACTTGTCATCTTATAAATAACACTGTAATCTATGCATTATACTAACCTTGATGTTGAAGATAGATAGGAGGTTTGTATGTACACACTACCTTTGGACTCCCTTCCCTCTCTGAGGAATAATAGTTCAATATCCACTCAAATAAGCGAGGGTGCGTACCCAAAGGACCAGTCGACTTGTGAAAATCTACAATACGGCACCTATTAAAAATTAACAAAATAGGTTATTTAGAGAATATCTTAAAATATTTTCATCAATGCAGTTATCAAATACAACAAATTCTAAGTTTAGAACTAATTTTATCCAGCCATTACTCTCTAAAGGAAGAAAAAGAAAATAAAACAATATTTTGTTATTTATCTGGAAAACTATCATTTTTGTGGGGGAAATAACTATTTAAATAACTATTCATAATAAGGTTGATGACTAACCTAAATGTCACAAACATTTTATGACATAAAATTTCCATGAATAGTAAATGAGGACTATACTTTTAAAAAATCATCTACGTATAATCTGGGACACAGCTTTTATTCTAGTTTCTAACCTTGATGACCAGTTAGAAGCTGATTTCCGCCATTGCCTTGCTAAACTCTGGTGTAGCCATGTGCTCATACTTCCGGCTTTAGCCCCCCTCCCCTACCTTGGAGAGGTGACTTTCTCTCTCTCTCTCTCTCTCTCTCTCCTCTCTCTCTACCTCTCTCTCTCCCTCCCTCCCTCTCTCTCTAATTTACTTTTTAAAGAACTATATTTTCTAATCTAAAAAAAATCTGATTTCTGATTTTAATTCCTAAAGCAATCTGTGTATATAAAAAAAATCCTGAATAATTTTCCTGTCAGTTCTCTCAAATTTCAATAACAGACAAAAATATTTGTAAAGATCATAGAAAAATATGTGTGCTTCCTTCAAGAGGGAGTTACCCTTGAATAAACAAGGTTTTTTTAAACCAGAAGTACAACCAAAAGCATTTGACAGCTTTATTATCCCTTTAAACTATAGCACACACATCCTGTCCTTGTCTCTCTTAGCAATAAAACTGCCAAAACAACTAAATTGTAATGACTATTAACTCAGCCTCAGCAAATTTAATGCCAATAACTTGTAACTGATTACTAAGCTTTAAATGCTCAGATGAACTTCTAGATAAATTGTTTAGAAGTAGAAAGAGTGTTTTAGGGTTAGCAGTTTGACTGCATGTTTGGATTTATAATATTGAACAGTACCCTACAGAGTATATAATTCATATAGAAAGTGAAAAAAAGACATCAAAATAACTGGTAAACAAACTCAGTATATATTAATAAAGCTTTACTAAACTATGTACCACAAAAGAAGTTGGGTATGTGAGACATTTTAGAAGATAATTTTCCTTTCCTTAAGAATTACTTAGGCCGGGTACAGTGGCTCATGCCTGTAACCCTAGCACTTTGGGAGGCTGAGGTAAAAGGATCGCTTGAGCTAAGGAGTTCAAGACCAGCCTGGGCAACACCGTGAGACCTCATTACTACAAAAAAAAATTAGCTAATTGTGGTGGTGCATGCCTGTAGTCCCAGCTACTCAGGAAGTAATGCAGGAGGACAGCTGTGGTAGCCATGATCGCGCCACTGCACTCCAGCCTGGGCAGTAGAGTGAGAGACCCTGACTAAAAAAAAAGTTTATTTTTTAAAAAAGGATCACTTCAAAGCTCAGAGCATGGTGTAAACAGACTGGCGAAAAGAGGAAAAAGCAGAAATACATTTAGAGACATTAAAATAGTTTCCATTAAACATGATCACAGACAGGCATTTTCCTCTTGAAAGCCCAGCATTAATACTGAAGGAAAAAAAGGACTTAAACACCCGAAGAGAGAAAAAAAAAAGAGGACATATAGGAAAAGACCACACATTTTTTGAAAATAGGAAGTAGGACCCAGGACACATAAAAGCGAATGAAAGAAAACAGAAACCAGATGTCTCAAAATCACAGAAAGGCTGGAAGCTTAGAGGCCTCAAGTGTGAGAAGAGTAAAGTTGAAAATTAAATTACCCCTTATAATCAAAAACATAATTGTTAGAATAAAAATTTCAATAGAGTAGCTGGGAGATAAAGTTGAGTAAATCTAGAAATTAAAACAAAAAGCAAAGATAAAGAAAATGAGAGGCATGCCAAATTCAGAACGTAAAGAAGTCCAGTGGCCAAGTAACAGAAGCCCCAGAAAGAAAAGTGGAAGAATCCTAATGATTAAACAAAAGCTAACTGCTGAAGTCCTGCTGTGTGACAGTCACAATTCTAAGCACTTTATTATCTCATATTTAACCATCACTATAACTCTATGAAAGTTACATATTGATATCATCTTTTATTAGTGGTAGAACTACCATACAGATAAGTTAAGCCATTCAGTTATAAAGGGGAAAGCTAGAACCAAGTCTGATTCCAAAGTTCCAAGCTCTTGAACACTATACCAACTGAGACCTTACAACTCACAACTCCAGATTCAGAGGGGAAAATACATGCCCAACATGATGAATCAAAGCCCCACACCCCAAGAAGAAATTTCATAATATGCGGGCTAAGGAAAGGTCTGAAAAACTTCTAGGGAAAACAAGTAGCTTATATTTAAAATGATCAAGTAGATAACTGGTTGTACATTAAAAATATGAGAATCAGATGACATCTTACCTTCTCAAGATTAATACTGATTACTAGAAGTCAACAGAGTAGAAACTTAATCTGAAAATGATTTTAGAGCCAACAATAACACAGCCACCCCAAACTACCACTTAAGTCATAAGATCTAGGCAACCTTTCTCAGAAAACGAATGAAATACATGCTCAAGCAAAAGGAAGTAATACAAAAAGAAGAAAGACGTGGAAACAGGAGACATCAAGGTCCTGATACAAGAAACCAGTGGAGACATGCTACGGGACAACTTGTGTGAAAGAGACCCAGGCGAGAGCAGAGAGGACAGGAGGTTCCAAGGAGTTATGCAGGAATCGCACGAGAGGCGGAGAGTTTGGAAAAACACGATGCAGTCAGACAGTAAAAAGGGAAAGAAAAGGTGACTACTAAGTGAAGAAGAAATTCAAAAAGCTTTTAGGAAAGGTAATAAAATCCACAGTAAGCAATATTTGCACAATTGTAATGATGTATAAACTCTGACTTCAATAAAAACTGAAATTGAAGCATATTAGAAGGACTGAAGGTGAACAGGGGAAAAATATTTTTAAAAACAACAGACAATATCTAAAACTGATAAACCAAGAAAAAGCTATGAAAACACACTGTTCAAAAACAATGGAAGTGACAGTTGCCTCTGAGAGACAGGATTTGAGAGTAGAGATGAGAATGATATAGGGACTACATTGCTGCTTTTCACTGCTACTTAATTCAGTGCTACTTAATTTTTGAACTATCTCTTTGATTAAAAACAAAATTTAAAAGATAAAAGAAAGCTCCCAGACATGGCAATAACATTCATTTGGGCTTCTGGGTACATACTTTACCCTTAGGGAGGTCAGGAGTGTATATACTTCACATGCTCCAATCCAGGCCTTTGTTCCCTGCAACCTGTTATTAAATTGAGAGGCCCCCTGAGGATCAAAACCTTCCTTCCAGGCATCTTCAATCATGGACTGGATTTTTGGAATGCAAGGAACCGACATACCTAAAATTATACAAGCAAACATGTTACACGACTGTTATTAAAGGAGTGAACAATCTTATTCAGCAGTATATCATATACTATAGAGGAACCCACAATACAGTTTTTAAGGCAGTTATTCCTGACATCTTCTTTTATTTTCTCCTCCTTCAACCAAAATTCACATTTCTTATGTAAACATCCAATCATTTTGTTAATGCTATTAATTGTGCCTGTTATATACTAACGCATTCCATATCACATATATGCTATCACATGACAAGTTCAGAGTACTATATTTCACATACCTTTTAAGCAATCATCATAAGCATCATTTTGCAATAATGATGAAAGTAGCATCTGGAAGTTTCTGTAACCACAACCCCAGCCTTTGTCGCCTAAAGATGAATGAAAGTGATCCACTGCTGTAGAAAGCCACACATGCCTCACATCTGAGGCAGCATTCTGGTAATACCTATGAAGTGCTTCAATAATTCCTAAAGTAGAAGAGATTTAGGAGTTATCATCTTTATATGGCTATCTCACACATTTTTAATATCAACCTTTCCTTCAAGAGTCACCTCTAAATCCTGTAAATTCGAGCATCTCCATCTTTTTAGTTTAATTCATCTTCTTACTTATGGCTAAGATCCATATTTCCTAACATTACCATATTGCTTATTATATTGAATTAAAATTTTTTGCATCGTTCATTTCTTCATCTGCAGGGCCCAGTACATGAAGTACAACTGTTGAATGAATGTTTTTCTTGTTGCTCCATTTTATTAGATACACTGCTGGAGATCACTCAATCCTAATCAATTTACCCCTAACCAAAAAAAAAAAAAAAAAACAACAATAGTTCCCTATTACCTAAAGAATGGCTTTAATCTATGGTGTATAAAGCCCACACCAAGCTATCCTCAGACTTGCCTTTACTCATGCCACTTTTCTTGCCATAATTTTGGCTGTGGCCTAGCCTAACACATTAAACATGATTCTGCCCACGGAGTTTTAATCCATTTTCAGTATTTGCTAAGCACTAAAAAAAAATTTTTTTTTAAATAATTTTTTATTTTAAATATGTGGGGTACAATTCAGGGATAGGTATACAAATGTTCAATCTGCAGGTACTCTTGTTGATGAGATGCCCCCCCCTCTCAGTTTCCCACTACTACCAATCTTCCCCCACCTCCCTCCCCTGGGAGTTTCCCACTACTACTAATCCCTTTCTTATAATATTATGATAATTGTTTAAGGTCTGTTTATGAGTGAGAACATGTGGTACTCAGTTCTTTGTTTCTGTGATAGATCACTCAGTGTTATAAAGTCCATCCAAGTTGCTGTGAAGTTCATAAGTTTGTCCTTCTTTATGGCTGTGTATTATTCCATCATGTATATGTACCACATTTTCTTTATCCAGTCCTCTATTGATGGGCAGCATGGTTGGTTCCATGTTTTTGCTGTTGTGAATAATGCTGCAAGATACATGCATGTGTAGGTATCTTTTTCATTGAGTTCCTCCAGGTATATTACCAGAAGAGGGATTGCGGGTTCATATGAAAGGTCGATTTTTAGATCTTTTAGGAATCACTAAACTATTTTCCACAGAATTTGTACTAGTTTACACTCCCATCAACAGTGTACAAGTGTTCCCTTTTCCCTGCATCCTCTTCAGCATCCGTTGTTTTTTGAGCTAAAACAACATGACAGCCATCCTGACTGCAGTTAGGTGGTGAAGTACTTTTTATACTTTTTACTAAAAGCACTGAGACTAAAAAGACAAACATGACACTATCCCGAAAATCTCATGGACCTGGACTATAGCAAATACTATGCTATGGATAACCAGAATAATCAAAGGAACCAGTAGTCGTAGCTGTGCCTAGCACCATGAAGAACAGAAATAATAGATCATTATAACCATTTCCAAAGAAATTAAAGACATTCAGCAAAAACAGCAATTAAAATGATACAGCTGAGTACTAAATGTTATGGTATGGAATGCATGCGTATGCTTGGAATTCAGAGAAAGATAAATGTGGACTTCAATATCACAGACTTTGATGAAAAGATCAAGATTTGAGACTAGCCAGGCTAAGTGGCTCAGCCTGTAATTCTAGCCCTCTGGCAGACCAAGGGAAGTAGATTCCCTGAGCCCACGGGTTCGAGATCAGCCCAGGGAAACTTGGCGAAATCTCGTCTCTCCAATAAATAAAAAATTAGCAGGGCATGGTAGCCTGTAGTTCTGGCTGCTTGGAAGGCTGAGGAGGAAGGCTTGCCAGAGCCCAGCGGGTCGATGCTGGGATGACTGTGAGTGTGCCACTACACTCCAGCCTGAGCAACAGAGTGAGACTCCAACTCAAAGAAAAAAAAAAGATTTGAGACTACCCTTTAAGAATAAGGGGGGGACACAAAAAAAACCCAGAATTAAATGGTATACATCTAGCATACTTTAGCATATGAATTACATATAAGACCAGGTGCCTCACTGTCTGCGTAACAATGTTTAGCAACATCATGTAACTGCTTTAAGGGGAAATTTCCTTATAATAATTTTTATTTTTATTTATTTTTTTTAGCTTTTAACTTTTTTATTTTAAAGATGTAGGGTACAATTCATAATAATTTTTATTCCTTAGCATCTAAATCTTTTTAGATGTTCTCCAATATAAATCTATCTTTAGTTAAAATTTATTCTACTGTTAAAATTGTAACAAGATTGTAATATACAAATGGAGACCCTCTGAATGACAGCTGCTTCAATTAACACTTGCATAATTAAAATAAAAATGGACTCATGGATATATGAAAATCTATACTACATGGTATTGCAAATATATGGAGAAAATATAGATTCAATAAATGGTAGCAGGATAAACATAATAAGTACTTATGGGTATTGCTATAAACAAGGAGAAAACAGTCAGATCTCTACATTCTTCCTACCCTCCATCTCCCCCTCACACACCTAAATTCCACGTGGATTAAAAATCAAAATATGAAATGCAAAGTATAAATACTTGAAGAAAATATAAAGAATATATAAAATACTTGAAGAAAATATAAAGAAAATATAAAGAATACTTATATATATATAAGTGAATAAGTGATCTCAAAGATGGGGGGTTTCTTAAACAAGACACTTAAGATACAAATAATGAAAAATTTGATTACATTCAAATTTTAAAATTCTGTCTAATTAAAAACGCCACATAGAAAATTTAAATGCAAACCATAGGCCTGAAAAAGATATTTGCATTTCATATAACCAACAAAGGATTAGTATCCTGAATACCTAATGGACTCCCACAAATCAATAAGAAAGACAAACAACCCAACAGAGAATACACAAGGAAGAGAATAGGTAATTCAATCAAGAGAAAACTTACTAAGGAGTAATCAGGGAGATGTGAATTAAAATATGTTATCATCTCATAAATGGCAAAATTAAAAAGTGTCACCATACAATGTATGAGAATACACTGGTATGAATGTAGATTATACCCACTTTGGAAAACAATTCTGCAATAATCTTAACAAAGTTGAAGACTTGCATGCCCTTTAACTTAGCATTCCAGTTCCAGATGCAATACGTGAGAAACTCTTGAAGAAGACCTGTTCATAAATTATAAGAGTAGAAAACTGGAAACAACCTAAATGTCTGTCAACATGAAAACAGAAATAAGCTGTGTATAATTCATGTGAGGAAATATTATACAGCACATTAAAATGAATTAAATTACAGCTACAAGAACCAATGTATTTGAGCAAAACAATTTACAGCATACATAGACAGCATACCATTTATATACAGACTAAACACATATAAAATATTGTATGTTATTTATGGAAATGTACACACATATACAGTAAGAGTGTTAAAGCATGTATGAGACTGGTTAATACAGATTCAATTCAGAATGGTTCCCTCATGGGGAAGAAGGGATTAGAATCAGAGAGTAGGCACAACACAGAGGGCTGAAAACACCCACGAAAGGTTTTACAGCTTTAAAAACCTTTAAGTAAATATGGCAAAACATTAAGATTCAAAAAATCTAAGTGGTGGGTAAAAAACTGTTTCCATAAAAATTTTGTTAATACACTAACAGATATACAAACAAAATAATAAAAACACTACTCATAAAAAAGGCATGTTTTGGAGCAAGGTGGACCTGATTATGAATACTGGCTGGGCCAATAACTAGTTGTGTCACTTGCCTTGGGAAGCCATTAAACCTCTCTAAGTCACAATGACCTTATTCAGAATATGTAACAGTATGCAAGAGGGTGTCTGTTCTGAGTTAAGTGATAAAACACGTACAGAGCTCTTAGAGTCTAAAAATGTATTGAACCACAGAACAGTCACTAGCTGCCTGCAGCTGTTGAGCATTGAAATGCAGCTGGTCCAGAGATGTGCCAGGAAGTATAAACAATGGAACTTGAAGAATGTATAGAGAATGTAAAATATCACAATAGTTTTAATGTTGATTACATGCAAAACAATAATATCATGGGAACATTGGATTTAGGCTTATTAAAATTAATTTCACCTCTTCCTTTTTACATTTTTAATTGGAGTCTCACTCTGTTGCCCAGGCTGGAGTGCAATGGCATGATCACAGCTCACTGTAGCCTCAACCTCCCAAATAGCTGAGACTACAGGTGCATGCTACCACACTCAGTCAAGTTTTTGATTTTTTGTAGAGACGAGGTCTCGCTATATTGCCAAGGTTAGTCTTGAACTCTTGGGCTCAACTCATCTTCCTGTTTCAGTCTCCAAAAGTGCTGAAATTATGGGTGTGAGCCACCATGCCTCGCCTACTTTTTAAAATGTGGATCCAGGAAATTTAAAATTAAATATGCAGCTCACATTATATTTCTATTAGCACTGGTCTAGAAAACGGTTAGCAACCAATAAAAATTTTTTTTAAAGGTTCATTTGTAACCATCAGGTAAATTAACACACTATAAAAATAAGTTATTTCTAGTGAATTATTTACTGTAAAAATAGTTCAGAAGTTTAAAACAACACATTAAAAAAAGTTTTGGCCAGGCACAGTGACTCATGCCTGTAATCTCAGCACTTTGGGAGACCAAGGCAGGAAGACTGCTTGAGCCCAGGAGTTCAAGACCAGCCTAGGTAACATAGCAAGGTCTTGTCTCTACAAAAAAAACAAAAAATTAGCAAGGCGTAGTGGCACATGCCTGTAATGCCAGCTACATGAAAGGCTGAAGCAGAAGGATTGCCTGAGCCCAGGTCAAGGTTGCAGTGAGCCACAATGGCACCACTGCACTCCAGCCTGGGTTACAGAATAAGACCTTGACTCAAAAAAGTAAAAAATAAAATGAGAAAATATTTGAACACAATCTTACCAAAAACTATATAAACCATGGAGCAAGAAAATTAAGCAAAATTCATATGATTCTGAGTACCTCAGCTATGTATGCAATATTAAAATTATGACTGTGAGCTGGGCTGGGTGGCTCAGCCTGTAATCCCGCGCCTTTGGGAGGCTGAGGTGAGTGGATTGCCTGAGCCTGCGGGTTCAAGACCCGCCTGGGCAGCGAGACCTCATCTCTACAATAAATCAAAAAATCAGCCGGACGTGGTAGCGTGCGCCTGTAATTCCGGCTACTTGGAAAGCTGAGGCGGAAGGATCGCTGGAGCCCAGCAGGTCGA